TTTTTTTTTTTAAGACAGAGTCTCACTTTATTGCCCTTGGTAGAGTGATGTGGCGTCACAGCTCACAGCAAACCTCCATCTTCTGAGCTTAGGCAATTCTCTTGCCTTAGCCTCCTGAGTAGTTGGGACTACAGGCACCTGCCACAACACTTGGCTATTTTTTGTTGCAATTTGGGCAGGGCGGGGTTCGAACCTGCCACTGAACCAGTTCAGTGGGGGCTGGCACCCTATTCACTGAACCACAGGCGCCGCCCAAGGATTTGCTATTTTATTTGATGTAACATCTTAAAGAATTACTATCTTTTAGAGACACACAGTTGAACATCTATAGATGAAACTAGAATTAGCTCCAAAATAACACCACTGATGGGATGAGATCAGACACAAGCTAACCACTGCTAAAGCTTGGTGATGGGGCTCTGAGGGCTTACTATGTGTCAAGCCCTGAGGGCTTCTTATGTGTTTGGTCTACCTTCCATAGAAAAGCTGGGGGGGAGGGTAGGAGTGGAGCAAAGCTGATCCTGTCAGTCAAATCTTCCAACTACTTTCCATAATTTAAAAAAATGCAAAGTTGTCCAGGCATGGTAGCTCATGCCTATAATCCCAGCACTCTGGGAGGGCGAGGCAGGTGGATTGCCTTACCTCACTGGTTCGAAATCAGCCTGAGCCAGAGCAAGACCCCACCTCCAAAAATAGTCCCAGCTACTCAGGAGGCTAAGGCAAGAGAATAGCTTGAGCCCAAAATTTCAGTTTGCTGTGAGCTATGATGTCACAGCACTCTACCAAGGGCGACAAAGTGTGACTCTGTCTCAAAAATAAAATAAAATAAAAAATAAAAAAATGCAAACTCCAGGCCATGGCTTCCCAGACCTGCAGGGTATGCCCTGGCTAGCTCTCCTGCCTCACCTCCTAGCCCATCACTCCTCCATTCAGCCTTGCCAGCTTCATCACCACCACCACCACCCTTTTTTTTGAGATAGAGCCTCAAGCTGTCACCCTGGGTAGAGTGCCATGGCATCACAGCTCACAGCAACCTCCAGCTCCTGGGCTGAGGTGATTCTCTTGCCTCAGCCTCCCAGGTCGTTATGACTACAGACACCCGCCACAATGCCCAGCTATATTTTGGTTGTAGTTGTCATTGTTTGGCAGGCCTGGACTGGATTTGAACCCTCCAGCTCTGGTGTATGTGGCTGGTGCCTTAGCTACTGGAGCTACAGGTGCCGAGCCCATCACCATCCCTCTTAAGCAGCACTGGCAGACACTCAACTCTAGCTTTTGTTCCTCCAGTCTCTTCCATCTGGAATATCCTTCCCCTGACAAGTCACTGGAATCTCTGCCTCTTGGCTTTCTCCTCCCACCAAAACACAAGCTCAGTGAGGGCAAGGCCTCCCACCCTGCTGTCCCTAGTATATAGTAAGTGCTCTGTAAGTACATACAGAATAAACAAATGAACAGCTCTTTTACCCCTGCCACTCAGACTAGTGGCTTCCGATCCCCCAGCCTGCTTCCTTCTTTTATAATGAGGTAAGTCACTCTTACTTCAATGGTTGTCTAAAGAATTCATGATCAGGTGCGTAACATGCCCAGCCCTGACCCTGAAAGGCATATGAAAATTCAGGATATTCTGTGTCCAAGCCCAGGATCCCCAAGTTCCCTTCCTCACACCTTCAGGCACTGTGAGCTGAGTCTAGTTGTATCTCTCAAAGGAGGTGCAGGTGACTAGGATTCAAACCCTCCACATGTCACTGGTAAGGAGGTGCAACCAGGCCTCTTCTTCAACCAGGTCAGGAGGGCCTCCTTTTACGTCTGGCATTTAGCCTCACTAAAGGTAAGCCACTCCATTTTTCAGAAAGGAAAACAGGTGCCCGGGACGGGGAAAGCCTCACTCTGGCCCCACCCTGCCTGGTGAGTCAGCAGTCAGACCTGCTTACTCCCATCAATCTCCAGCCACACCCTGGGTAACAACCTCCTGGCCTCAGGGAAGAGACCTAAAGCCTCTCTTGGCCTAATCCTGTCCTTCCTGAGGCAGTGACTCCCTCACTTGCCCAGCCAGCCTGGTGACTCTGAGAATTACTGCCTGACTTGGGTGAGAGTCACCACCTGGCAGCCACCCTCTCATGCCCTGTCCCTCAAGGCAGGAGCTATCTGAGGACCCACAGCTGGCTCTACTCCTCCTGACAGCACCCAACACAGGTATCTGCAGTCCCATCTATGCAGTGGGTTTAACACCCACTGCCCAGAGGGCCACTAGGAGGAGGTGAGGATGGGTGTTTGGTGAGCTGGAGAAGGCTCTGCAGATGACAGCAGGAAGCACCCCAGGCCAAGGTATCCCCGGGACACTGAGATGACCTAATCTTCCATCTCCTGCCTCAGCACCTTAACAGCTCTCCTCCTTAGTCCCCTGACCTCCAGCTTCCACATCAGCCTGCTCCCCTAACCCCTTTCTCCTGTGTCCCTGAGCTCCCGAGGTCTCTGCAGCTTCTCTCTCCCATACCACCAGACAGTCTCCGGCCTTCTGCAGGGGGCCTTCCCAGGTTCCATAGAAGGCACAACTCTCTCTAACCCTCCCTAGCTTTTTGTTTCTTTAGAGCACTCACTCACTGATGTTATGTGATTCTGGTTTATTTGTAAGTTATATATCTCGTCCACTATAATATAAATTCCTCGAGGCCAGGGCTTCATCTGGTCAAATTCTGTGTCCTCAATACACATAACACCTGGCACAGAAACGATACTAATAAATACTAGGTGAAGGAATTAAAAATGAACCTTTGCATGGCTCCCTCCTGCCCCTAGAATAAATAAAGTCCAAACCTTCATGATCCCTTTTTGCCCCCTCCTCCTAACCACAAAGCCTTTGCTCCCAAAAGACGCTGACTCTGCCCTGACCACTTCACACTGCGGACATTCTTCATGTATGGGTCACTATGCCAGGAATGCTACTCCTAGTTCCTCTTCCAGCTTCCTCAAGCTTGTTGTAGACATGGCATCTTCACAGAGAACTGGGCTAGCCAGAGCCCCTGTACTCACACTACCTGTGGCATTTGTCATACCAGCCTAATTGCCATTTCCTTTTCCTATCTCCCATATAACCTAGGAACCCTGGAAGCTTGAAGACTGTATCTGATCCCTTCTGCACTGCCCAGCTTACCCAACTCAGAGAAGGGAGTAACAAGATGGGGCAGAAGGTGCCCACAGCAGTTTCTTCCCCACAGGACCAGATGAAGTTTCTCAAGAGTTGAGTCTGAGGGTGAGTCTCCACCACAGAGCCTCCAACTTACCCATCCTAACCTGTCTGCAATCAGCCCTGTGTCCAAAATCTTGCCTTATTTCCTTAGTCATCCCTTCTTACCTTTCCAACATGACTACCCCAGACCAGACCTCTGCCCTTCCCCTCTCATTGGACTTCACAGCTTTCCACTCACTTCCCTGCTGCCACATAATTTAATCTGTATAACATAAACCTAATGGAGCACATACTGGATGCCCAGCACTGTCATAGACACTTTATAAACCCTCAGTCATCAACTGATTCCAGAGGGGATCAAGCTCCTTGAAAAAGAAGTAATAGGCTGGGCATGGTAGTTCATGACTGTAATCCTACCACTCTGGGAGGCCGAGGTGGGTGGATTGCCCGAGCTCATGAATTCAAGACCAGCCTGAGCAAGAGCAAGACCCCATCTCTATAAATAACTGGGTGCTGTGGGGGACGTCAGTAGTCCCAGCTACTTGGGAGGCTGAGGCATCACTGAAGCCCAAGAGTTTGAAGTTAATGTTAACTGTGATGCCACAGCACTCTACCAAGGGGGAGAAAATAAGACGCTGTCACACACACACAAAAAAAATTACTAGATCACGTCACTTACCTACTTGGAACAGTTTGAGAGCACTTGACAGAATAAAATCTGGGCGGCGCCTGTGGCTCAAAAGGGTAGGGCGCCAGTCCCACATGCCGGGGGTTGCGGATTCAAACCCAGCCCCAGCCAAAAAAAAAAAAAAAAAAAAAAATGACAGAATAAAATCCAAACTCTTACCACCTTATGGCCTGCCAGGCCCAGGTGCAACCCTGACTGGCTCCCCAACCTGCTCCCCATATTCTCTTTGTGGCATTTCTGTCTAAAATGATGTTTAGTTTCACCAGTGTGTTGCCTAAGGGCCAGCTCCACAGGGCAGGGACCATTTCATAGGGTATGTAACCATCCAGGTGCTGACCCATCCCCCAGTTACCTGCCCTGCGCCCCCCTCCCACTCCTTTTTTCTCACAACAAACCTAGTTGGGAGGTGCCATTTATAGATATGCAAATTGAGGCAAAGAGAGGAGCGATCACCTGCCCAAGGTCAAATAGCTTATGTGAGTGTCAAGGCCAGGACATGAATCATGCAGCCTGACCCAGGGTCCTTGTTTTTTTGCCCCATGATATTCCACCACTACACAAAAAACAGTTGTTAAACAAGTAAACTCTGTAGATGTCTGCTGAATAAACAAATGAATCTTGGGGCAGGGGGGTTGTCAGGAGAGCTTCTTGAAGGAGGTGGTCAACAAGTAGATCCTTCAACAATGGGCAGCACGTAGAAAAACAAGATCAAGATGGCAACAAAAAGGACACCAACCCTTTTGTGCTGAGTAAAATGACAGCAGCAACTTCAGTGCTGGGTGTGCCACGACCCAGGCAAATGGCTATTTCTTCCACCCTCTGACTATACAGCCTGCTCTAGTCCCTACATACACATACCCAAGGCCCAAGACACCTTACCACAAGTCACTTTGCCTTCGGAAGCAGGCCTGGCTGGCTCCTGCTGCTGCGGAGCAGCTGGACCCCCTCTCCGCCGCCGTCTGGCACCACCACTAGGCCGGCCCCGACTCCTCCGCTGCCGCTTGGTTGGAGGGGAGCCTGAGGGTATAAAGATATGACAGACTGAGGACCAAGATGACAGCTAGACTGCCATGCTGGGTATCCAAGAGAAGAGCCTCAGGCAGCCTCAGTGATGAGCCAGAATAAGCCCGTCTCTCTCAGGGGCCCTGTCTAAAAAGTGAGGAGGACCACCTGACATCATCTGGAAGAACAGATGGACACACCCCACCAACCAGCAAGCCCACTCCACTCTGGCCCTAGAGAACTCTTCACACACTTATACCAGGAAATGGTCATGATAGCAGCCTTTGGGGCAATCACGCAAACCTGAAAACAACTCAGTATCTGCCAAGATTAAAGGGGACTTAATACAGTAATTTGATACAGTAATTTCCAGGATAAATTGTTCAGGGCAGCGGTTCTCAACCTGTGGGTCACGACCCCTTTTTAACAATGAAAATACATTGTGGCATTAGGAAGGTTGAGAACCACTGGTTTAGGGAAATATAGCAAGAACATGCAAAATCAGTAACCACAGTATGCTACACTTTGCATAAGAAAGAAAGATCACCTGAGACTATTGAGTTCAAAACCAGTAAGACCCCATTTCTATAAAACATAGAAAGGAAATTAGCCAGGTATGGTGGTGCACACCTACAGTCCCAGCAAGGCAGGAGGATCACTTGAGGATCACAGCCCAGAGTTAAGAGGCTGCAGTGAGCTATGACCATGCCACTGCACACAAAATAAGAAATAAAAAAGTAATAACATACATATATATTTGCAAGATTGGATACTCAAAGGACAAATGAAAAATGAATGAAATTGATTACCTGACTATTGGGGGTAGGGGGTAGGGCAATAGTGGAAATGATTTATCTAAGAACAACTTTTTCATACTTTAGTTTTGACTTTTTTTTTTTTTTATTTTTTGAGACATGGTTGCACTCTATTGCCACGGGGTTGCCTAGCTCACGGCAACCTCACATTTCTGGGCTCAAGAGGTCCTCCCACTTCAGCCTCCTCAGTAGCTGGTACTATAGGCACCCTCCATAATGCCAAGCTAATTTTTCTATTTTTAGTAGAAATGGGGTATTGCTCTTGCTCTTGAACTTCTGAGTTCAAGGGATCCTCCTGCCTCGGCCTCCCAGAGTGCTAGGTTTATAGGTATGAGCCATTGTACCCCAGGCCTTTAGCTTTAACTTTTGAATCAGATAGCTGTTTTACACATTCAAAAAGTTAAAAAGAAACAAAGCATAAAATTAAATACAAACAGAAACAAATGAACCTAATTGTATACATAATTTGTAACATGAATACACAGAGAAAAGAACTATTGCAAGTAACTTAGAATAAACATTCTGACTGTACACTTTCAGTGGGATACACTCAGAGAAGAATTGTAAATAAATCTCATGTTTCACTCAGTAGATATACTCAGCAATGGTGTATCTATTTGATGCTATTTTATTATTGCTGTAAAAATAAAGCAAATAAATTCATATCTCAATGTTAATGGCCATGACTTTCAATATTAAAAATTCTTTGTAATGTTAATTGTATTATATTTTTTATTTTATTTTATTAATTTATTTATTTTTGAGACAGAGTCTCAAGCTGTAGCCCTGAGTAGAATGCTGTGGCATCACAGTTCACAGCAACCTCAAACTCTTGGGCTTAAGTGATTCTCTTGCCTCAGCCTCCCAAGTAGCCGGGACTACAGGCGCCCACCACAATGCCCAGCTACTTTTTGGTTGCAGTTGTCAATGTTTGGCAGGCTCAGGCTAGATTCGAACCTGCCAGCTCCGGCGTATGTGGCTGGTGCCCTAGTTGCTTGAGCTATAGGCGCTGAGCCACTAATGTTAATTTTAAATTAAAAACACTAATAGGAACTATTTTAAAAATAAAAGTCTCAGCTCAGCACCATAGCTCAGTGAGTAAGACACCAGCCACATACACTGAAGCTGGCAGGTTTGAGCCCAGCTTGGGCCTGCTAAAACAATGACAACTGCAACCAAAAACAGCTGGGCATGTGGCAGGTGCCTGTAGTCCCAGCTACTCAGGAGGCTGAGGCATGAGAATTGCTTAAGCCCAAGAGTTCGAGGTTGCTATGAGCTGTGATGCCACAGCAGTCTACCAAGGCCACATAGTGACACTCTGTCTTTAAAAAAAAAAAAAAAAAAGTCTCTAGCTCTGTTCACTGAAGGAGCCTAGAAATAATGCACACACTTGGCATTTAGATCTTATTCCCTAAATACCAAAGCCTCAAAGAAATAGGGTTCCCTGAAAAACAGCTGATACTAAGGCTGAGAAGGGGAAGTTCAAAGTGAGCCTATGACATCTTGCAGTGTCACAAAGCAGGATGGCAGCACCCAAAGATTGATGGAGACAAGTCAGAGAGACAGAAGACGGCCAATTAGAACCATATGAAAAATGACTAGTTGTCTATAACAAAGAAATAATAATGCTTGAGTTGAGCCAGGTTAGGTGGTTCACACCTGTAATCCTAGCACTCTGAGAGGTTGAGGTGAGTGGACTGCCTGAGCTTAGGAATGTGAGACCAGCCTGAGCAAGATCAAGATCCTGACTCTGAAAAAAAAAATAGCTGGCCATTGTGGCAGGTGCCTATAGTCCCAGCTACTTGGGAGGCTAAGGCAAGAGGATTGCTGCAGCCCAAGAGTTTGAGGTTGCTGTAAGCTTTGATGCCACAGCACTTTACCAAGGGCAACAAAGTGAGAGTATGTCTCAATTAAAAAAAAAAAAAATGCATGAGTCCATAGTGACACTAAAAAGAAAAAAAAAAAAAAGAGGGAGAGAGGAAGAGAAAAGAAATGAAAGAATTCCAGCCTATAAGAGAAGTAGAAAAAAAGAAAATCACCATTTTGCAAAGACCAGTGTGCTAAATGATTCAGGCAGTGCTCACTAATAGATGCTAAACCCACCAGGTGAATAGCCATTGGGGAACAGGATGTGCCAAAATATAACCCCATAGGTTGTTTACTACCCATACTGGAAATCAAATGTCCCTTTACAATGGATAAACATGGCAGACATCATCTTCACCAAGTGATCAAGCTTTCTCAGTCACATGGGAAAAACTAGACCTTACAAGGCCTTGTGATATGTTTCACTATGAAGTAGATGGCATTAACTAAGGAGTATTCCTCCCAAAAATGTGGTGTAAACTACATTAAATCTAACCACATTCAGAAACACTGGGACATGTTATAAAACAACTGGTCTCAAAAAAACCCCCCAAAAACAAATACATGAAATAATCATCAATTTTCAAATTAAAAAAAAAACTGGCCTCATAGGGTAAATAAGTCAATGTCACAGGAAAAAAACAAAAATGTCTAGGAATGGAGTGAGGAGTTTCTGTTTCTATAAAATAAAAGATAAAGGAGACATAACAAACGAATGCATAACAACAACTATAAATGGATTCTGAATATTAAGACAATCTTCTGATATTTGAAAATGGAACATCAGGATATCATTTACTAATTATTTTCTTAGGTATGAAAATGGTCTTTAAGTGATAGTAGATAATCCTATTTTTCATAAATGTCTGCTTATTTAAAGGTAAAGCATTGTGATGTCTGTAATTTACTTTCAAAGAGTTCAACAAAAACCCAAGAATTACATATGTACACATTTAAAGCAAATGTAGCAATGTTAACAATTATTGAATATAAGTGAAAAGTACTATACTAATCTTGCAATTTTTCTGTATGTTTGAAATTTTACATAATAAAAAGAAAACTAAAGAGGAGAGATTGAATAAATTAACTAGGGCATGGCAAGTAAAAGAAACCAATCAGAGGTACTGAATACGAACAGATCTCAGAAATATATCTAGTGAAGGCAGCCAGATGAAGAACAATACCCACAATGTTTGTAATGCTATTTAAATGAAACATGAAACCACACACAATTCTATGCTGCTCCAGAAAAGTATTTCTGTAGCAATAAACACACACATACAATGAAAATGAGACAGAAAGACCTCTTCAGGTTCCCTCAGGATGGAGAAGGTTCAGCTAGCTTCAGAAAGAAGAGAGTGACACTGCCCTCATGCCCACCCAGGTGGACTCACCTGTCTCCCACTGATCCTGCCGAGAATCTGAAGAACTGCTTGACTGCCGACGACGATGACGGCAGCTGCCCTCTGTCCTCTTTGAAGAGCTGGAGGTGCCATAGCTATATCGTTCTGGAGACACTGGCCCAAGAGAAGAATGGGAAAAAGCATTCGGCCTGCCTCCAATTCCCACTCTTACAAGGAAGCCTGCCTGCACCAGAGGTGCCTAAGTTCCCTAGCAGGTAGAGCCCAAATATCTACTTCTAAAACACCTTTTGCTCAGCTGCCTCCAGAGACAGACGACTTGTCACCACTCCACGCCAGCCAACTGTTGTCTACACAGCTCAGTCTGTAAGTAGTCATGGTCAGGATCCCCACATGATCTCTTCACACACACCCCCCACCAACTATCTCCAGCTCTCCCTGAGGCCGTAAGGAATAAGGAAGCCTCTCTGCAGACTCCGATCTCTTCTATAGCCTGAACCTCAGACAAATTTTTCTAAAAACACTGTCAGCCCTTCCCTAGAGCTGTCCTTTTCCTGGTCATCTAAATCCCATGGGCTTACTCTGGGTCAGGGAAGGCCATAATCTCTCCTCCCCAAATGAGCCAGTGACCCAGCCAGAGGCTAAAAAGCCTGTTCATGGGCCAGGCCCAGTGGCTCATGCCTGTAATCCTAGCACTCTGGGAGGCTGAGGCAGGTAGATCATTTGAGCTCAGGAGTCAGAAACCAGCAGGAGCTAGACTCTATCTCTAAAAATAGCTGGGCATTGGCTCGGCGTCTGTGGCTCAAGTGGCTAAGGCACCAGCCACATACACCTAAGGTGGCGGGTTCGAATCCCCAGCCCGGGCCCACCAAACAACAATGATGGCTGCAACCAAAAAATGGCCAGGCGTTGTGGAGGGCGCCTGTGGGAGGCTGAGGCAGGAGACTTGCTTGAGCCCAGGAGTTGGAGGTTGCTGTGAGCATGATGCCATGGCACTCTACCCAGGGGGATAGCTTGAGGCTCCGTCTCAAAAAAAAAAAAAAAAAATTAGTTGGGCATTTGTGGTAGGCACCTATAGTCCCAGGTACTTGGGAGGCTGAGGCAAGAGGGTCACTTGTGTCCAAGAGTTTGAGGTTGCTGTGAGCTATGATGCTATAGCACTCTACTGAGAGTGACAGACTGTCTCAAAAAAAAAAAAAAGTGTATATATGCACAAGGTTCCTGGCTGACTGAAACCCTCCCAGCTCCTCACCTCAAGACTGCTATCCTCCGAGAGGGCCTCTCTCACAAGGAGTAAGGGCATTAACTCTGGCAACAAACCAAGTAAGTTTGAATCCTGGCTTTCACACTTTCTAGCTACATTATCTGCAAGCCCCTTCACAATATGGCTTCTCACCTACTTCTGTGCCCTTGTTTATATCCCCTCTGCTCCTGCTACACTGGCCTCTGATGATGCCAAGCTCATCCTCAACTCAGGCCTTGGATGCTGCCAGGAATTTGCTCCTTTGAGATCTACACATAGCTAGCAGAACAGCCTCAATTCATATGCCATTTCCTCAGAAAGTTCATTGGTTACCCAATCTAAAACAGACTTCTTTCACTTTGCTGCCTTTCCTAGTCTCTCTACAACCTTATCTAAAAATAAGTTAAGTGCTTATCTGTTTTGTCTCACTGCCCCCCAAATGCAAGCTTGATGGAACAAACATCTTGTAAAACCACGTTATACCTCCCACACCTGGTACACAGATTCAGTTCTTATCTGTGGGTAAGCTGTTTAATTTCTCTGAACTTATTTTCCCTGTACAGTAGAAAGAATAACAGGACTTCCTCGTGGGATTACTGGGACTATATAAAAAGTTCATAAAAAGAGTTTACAGCTGTACCTGGCACAAATAAGCCCCCCCCCACCTTAAACAGGGCCATAATCATTATTGATGTGGCCAAATTCTACAAACTCATCCCTCCCAAAGTCATGCCTCCTCCCTCTTGTGTTTCTCATTGATATTCTAGGAAGATGAGGAAGTGGAATAGGACACAGGCAGGCTGATATGGCATTGTCGGTATCAGGGCGCTATGGGGGCCCAGCAGGAGAAAGGCCTTCTCCTGACCGGAAGTCTGGCACCCTCCCAATTCAACCCTACCTGGCCGGCGCCGCTTGCGCGCCAGGTGAGGCAGCAGATCGTGGCGGGCCAGCACACGCAGGAGTTGACCCAGCAGCCGCAGATTACTCTCGTCGCACTGCCCGCGGCGCTCCAGCTCCAGCAACAGCTCCAGGCCGCTGCGGGCGCGGGCCAAGCCGCCAGCAGCGCCGGGGGCCTCGTCCAGTAGGAAGGCCAGGAGCTCCAGCTCGCACTCGGTCAGTTGCCCGCCCACCACCTCGAACATACGGTGAAGCGACAGCATCCCGTAGTAGTCCAGGCATTCATCCTCCTCCCAGCTCGGGGCTGGGGTCGACCCAGACAACGCCATTCCCAGGGGAGGGAGGCGGTACAAGCTCAGAACCGAGGCCTAGAACCCACCCAGTGGAGAGGAGGCAGTGGTCAGCGACGAGGGGACCCGAAGGCCACACCGCCGATGCACCTTCCCCACCCTGTCGCGCCAGGAAGGGCTGCTCCCACACCCCAATTGTCTCAGCCTCCCCTTCCCCCGGAAGGGAATGGTCTCGCCCGAGGTCCCCTAGTAACAGGTAGAGACGCCAGACCCCGGTCGATCTGACCAGTGGGCCTCGAGAAGCCTGAACGCCCCTCCCCAAGTGGTATGTTCCCAACTAGCCTCCGGACCCGACCAAGCTATGCGGCCCAAACAAACCTAGGGCCCATACCGGGCCACCCTGCCTGCTGCCCTTCGACGCTGGGTAGTACTGCCCGAACTTGCCCTTTGGCTCCCCAGTGCTACCATCCTATTAGTCCACGGCTCCACCCATGTGGTATAGCTCCAAAACTGCAAGTGGGACCGACCAAGGCAGCCCTATTTGTTCCACACAGGTGGCACTGTCCAAAGCCAAAGGGACAATCTCCCTGAAGGGGCAATCCCGCCCTCTCTCCCACCGCCTAGGTGGTTCCATCTACATGCCAACGTCGCCTTTAGGCCACGCTACCTCCTCACCAGATTCCGGCGTCCGAAGACTCCCGGGTGACGGCCGCAGCCACTTGTTTTGGATCTTTCTGGCACCTTCTCTATTATTACGCCTGCGTCACCTCGCCCCTCCTCCGTCCCCCAACTCGCGCAGGTGCGACCGCCACGCCCCTTAGGCGCAAGCGCAGAATGCCTTTAAGCCCCGCCCCTAACAGAAGTGTTTCAGCGTGCCTGTGCTGCGCTTGCGCAGAATGAGTGCGACGCCGTGTCTGGGGTTTGAAATATCGCCGGGTTCCAAGGTCCCTAATTTCCACTCGTGACTTAAGCCACCGGGTCCCTGTAGCCCCATGTCACAACTTCTTGGAACTACATCTCATGGAGTACAGCCCCCTCTTCATTACGACCTAGACAGCCACATTACCACCGGCCCCAGCTGTTCGCGGCAATGGACCACAACCACATTCCCGACTCACAGGAGTGCCTAGCCCTCCTACGATCGAAACCCTGACACTCCTCCATTAGATTGTCCCTCTCTTCTAGTGGCAACCAGGAATAGGTCGTGAGACATCAAATCTCAACTGTGATGCCTTAATGCTCCGGACTGGAACACACACACCCTGAGTCAACAGAAACCCCGCCCCCCATCTATAAGTTTCTTCCCCTGTTAGAAACCAGTACTTCCTCATCTCATAGTGATACCTCCTAACAACTCACAAGACTTCTCCACCCCGATTGGGATCCATCGGGGATCCCAACAGCATCCACCCTGAACCCTCATCGCAGTCAGACATCCCTACCCGGGGTCAGAACAGTCCCTTGATAACCCCTTCCAATTTCTGCCCTCCAAGGTTACAGAGCCGCCCAGATGCCCATTCCCTAACCTGCACCAACCAGAGATGTCTGTCGGGGAAGTCAGAGTCAAAACTGCGGAGTCAGGCTGTCAGCGGTCCCCTCGCCACGGGGCCTTTGGGTGTGACCGCCACCCCACCCCGCACTTAGATGATTCAAAGTTAGGGCCTGCACGTGGTTGAGATAAGTCCCCCAGACTGGTTCCTAACTCCGAAATTATCTCCCCCTTGGAAGGCAAGAGACCTGGGTTTTGCCTGGCACTGACTCAGTATTGGCTCTGCTTGGTATGCAGCAGTGGCCTCAGAAGAATTTCTGGGGCGGCGCCTGTGGCTCAGTGGGTAGGGCACCGGCCCCATATACCGAGGGTGGCAGGTACGAACCCGGTCCTGGCCAAACTGCAACAAAAAAATAGCCGGGCATTGTGGCGGGCGCCTGTAGTCCCAGCTAATCGGGAGGCTGAGGCAAGAGAATCACCTAAGCCCAGGAGTTGGAGGTTGCTGGCAGCTGTAACGCCACGGCACTCTACCCACTCTACCGACTCTACCGAGGGCGACAAAGTGAGACTCTGTCTCAAAAAAACAAAAGAAGAAGAAGGATTTCTTCCCGTCTGCTCTCTGGGACTCTGTTTCCCTACTTGTAAAATGAATGGCAATGGTCACCCTCCTATAGAAGCACGGTCCTGAGCCAAACACACAATGGGCGCCTCCTAAGTGACTATCATTAAATCAAACCAGGAGTGGGAGGGGCTGGAAAGCAATTTTACAAGCCATGAAGGATTGTGTCCTTTTTAGATGGGTTATGCTGGACACCCGCGGAGTATCAGACCTTGTGCTGAATGCTTTTTTTTTTTTTTTTTTTTTTGGAGACAGAGCCTCAAGCTGTTCCCCTGTGTAGAATGCCGCAGCGTCACAGCTCACAGCAACCTCCAACTCCTGGGCTCAAGCGAGTCTCCTGCCTCCGCCTCCCAAGTAGCTGGGACAACAGGTGCCCGCCACAACGCCCGGCTATTTTTATTGGTTGCAGCCTTCATTGTTGTTTGGCGGCCCGGGCTGGATTCGAACCCACCACCTTAGGTGTATGTGGCTGGCGCCTTAGCCACTTGAGCCACAGGCGCCGAGCCATGCTGAATGCTTTTACGTGTGTGACATCATCCAATCCCCTCAACAACCTTTGAGGTGAAGTAACTCAAACCAACTTTATGCCAGTAAAACTGAGGCCAGCAAAGAAACCAAATGTGTCGAGCTCCAAACCTTTGTTGTCAGAGATGCTCAGTCTTTTCAGCTATGAAATGGCATCTGTCGAAGGTCTTCCGCAGCCCATGGGCCCAAGCTCTCCCAGGGTGCCCACCTCTTTCTGCTGAACTTTCAGACTGTGGAGAACTGCGCAGGCGCATCTCCTAGCCTCGAGCCCCGCCCACAGGGCTCAGCTGTGTGCGTGGAGAGTGCATGGAGCCCCGCCTGAGTGTCAATACGCAGGCGCAAGGCCGCGTGCCTGCGCTACCGGTTCTGATTGGCCATCATGGGTAAGGGCGCCGCCCAATGGGAGGTGCGGATAGTGAGGGGGTCCCACAAGACTGGATCTGAGGGTCTGTGTCAAGAGCCGCTGGGGCTGCAGGAGACGAGAGAAACTGGTGAGGGTGCCGCGGAGTGGGCCGGGGTAGAGGACGCTGGGCGTAAGAAGAAGGCGGAGCGAGAACGAAGGGGACACCAGGGGTCTAAGAGCTTTGGGGCCTGTGCTAGGGCGGGAGCGGCGCAGGATGGAAGGAGAGCGCTCCTTCCTGTGTACCCCGCAGCGTTGGTTGATATTGAGGTGTGGAAGACCCTACTCTTGAGCTCGCCCCCACCCCACGCCCAACGCTCTGCAAGGAGTTCTCAGGCTGCCCAGTTGAGTCTGGTAAAAGAAAAGGGATGTGCAGCGGAAAAGTTGAACTTCCAGGTCTCTGGTGAGTTCATTCCTTGACGGACTTATTAATCTACTGTATGAAACCCCCCCATTCCTCTCCATGGTAGATCACAATCCAAGATTGGGAAAGGAGAATGTAGACCAGCAAGCAAAGTGCCAATTTCAGGCCTCCCAGGCCGCCTTCTCGAGAGACATTTGTTGAGTGCATGCTTTTTGCAAGCTCTGCAGCAGGCACTAGGCCTAGCCCGAAGGGAGTTTCTGTTCAGAGTGGGGCTGTAAACAAGGAAAAATAGAACTCCTGGGCCGCTGTTTGACTAATTCCAGGAAGATGTTTTATGAAATGGCTGTTGTATGCAGACTCCTGGCAACTCAAACATTAGTGAGAAAGTTGAAATAGTAGATAAACGGCTTAACTCATGGGCTTTTAGTGAATCATTTACTCAGGGAGCATTTATAGCCACCAACAGAAAGCAGGGTCTGTACTGGGCTGTTTTATGGGAATTCATGGTCTAATGGGAGAGTTAGTCTGATAGAAGTGGAATGTGCACAGAGACAGTTAAAATCCCAGGGCCTCATTTCCCTAGGGATCGTTATTCATTCACTATCTACTGAGTGCCTACTATGTGCTAGGCATCATTCTTGGCCCTGGAAATACCTCAGTGATAAACAGGCTAAAATCCCTGCCTTCTGGGAGCTTAATAGAGAAACTTATTTTGTAGAGCTGTAAGCTAAACTCCACCTGTCCTCTGGCACTAACAGATGAGGTGAAGAAGAGATAAGGTAGACATTAGATTCACAAGATGAGCGGCTAGGCCTGGGAGGGGGGCAATTATCTACCTCTGAGCTCCTGGTATGTGAAAGGGACTGAGTTGACTTGAGCTCACACAAGTAGAAGGGAATACAGGACACATAGAGGGAAGTTTGAAAGTTAAAATTCTTGTCCCTAGTAAGTGGTTTTATTTGTAACTGGAACCCCCATGATGAATCAAACCCTCAAAAGAATTTCTCTCAAGCTCTCAGTCTGGTGAGTAATAAAGATGCCATCCCAAGTGTATGATATTTGCTGTGCTAAGGGTGGCATAGAATACTGTAGGAATCCTGCAGAGGAGAGTGTCGCCACCACCCTGAGGATGCAGAGATGTTGCCAGACAAGGCTCACAAAAGAGGTGCTGGGTAGGAGTTTGCCAGACAAAAACAAAAGAGAGAGAAGTTTCTTGGCAGAAGAAATAGCAGCATTACAGACTTAGGATACAAAAACAACCTTTCTGAAGAACTCTAAGTAATAGTTATAGCTAACCTTTAACAAGTACCATGTACTGTGTGTGAGTACTACTTTTAGCCCCATTTTACAGATGAGAAAATAGTCTTGGAGAGAGGAAGTAGTAACTCAGATTTAAGTTAAGAGCAGTTCGGTTCCAGGGCCTGTGTAATTAAACACTTTAGTGTACGTGTGTGTGTGTGTGTGTGTGTGTGTGTAAGAGAAGGAGGAAAGGTATTGCACAAAGAGGAAACAGTACAACAAGCAAGGCTGTTGTGTTCTCAGAAAGTGATGACTGATTCTCTGGGTGAAGAGGGCAGTATCAGAGGCCAGGCTAAGAAGTGTTCTCTCTCCTGCAGATGCCTGACTACCATGGGGCGTGTGTAGGCTTCAGAGACACAGGATCATCTTCAGAGACTGAGATACAAACTTTGAAGTAAGACTTCTTGATTGATAGAAGCTGGTAAGTAATGGGATGACAAGCAAACTCCTGAGACTATCCTTTCTCTCCTTAGTGTCTCACCAGCTTCCACCCCTCTTTTTCTAGGCTGCCTTCCTTGCAATGGCAGAGGTAGTGGCTGAGATGGCTGAGATGCCAACACAGATGTCATCAGGGGCAATAGAAATGTCAACACCCATGTCAGGGGAAATGACAGAGATGTCAACAGAGGTGACTGAGATGACACCAGGGGAGGCCCTTGCTTCATCTCTATTCTTCCAGCACCACCAGTTCATGTGTTCTGAGTGTGGCAGCCTCTACAACACGCTGGAGGAAGTCCTCTCACACCAGGAGCAGCATATACTCACTGTCTCAGAGGAAGAGGCACTGACCACCCAGGATGCTGGCCTGGCACCAGAGCTAATGCCCGGCTCTGAGGAGGGACCTTTCCAGTGTGGTGAATGCAACCAGATCATCCTCTCCCCTAGTGAGCTCTTGGTCCACCAGGATGCCCACCTCCGGGAGTCTGCAAGCCAGATCCAAT